CAATAACTTTTCTTTAAATCTTGATACATCTTGGTTCCTCTAGGATAAACAGTATATGGTGTATCATGAGCCTCTGTAAGAATCTTTCTCTTCAACTTAGTATCTTGGGGAATGCATATACGATTCCGAAAACGAAGGACACCATCTAATAGGTGGAATTATGATATCTTACCCTCAACTACTTGCTGACTTATTTTCTAATACCACTCATCAACAACTTGTTTTTCTTTAATCTCTTCCAGCAAAGTAGGCTGAATATCTAACCTGGCAAGCCTTCCCGGTATCAACTCTATTTGGTCCTCTATCAACTCTCCCAATAACTCTTTCTGTCTTGTAAGTTGAGACAAGTAAGCATTTCTACTCAAGGCATCAGCTACTACATTGGCTTTTCCAGGTTGATACTTAATTTCACAATCATAATCCTTTACCAGCTTTAACCATCTCCTCTGCCTCATATTCAACTCTCTTTGGGTGAAGAAGTACTTCAAACTCTCATGATCCGTATAAATGTTACTCTTTGCTCCTTACAAGTAATGCTTCCATATTTTTATTGCAAAAACTACAACAGCCAACTCTAAATCATGCATAGGGTATCTCGTCTCATACTTTCTAATTGTCAAGAAGCATATGCTATTACTCTACCCAACTGCATTAATACTGCACCAAGTCCCTGAAATGAGGCATTTGTATAAATATCATAATCTACAGCTTCTTATGGTAACACAAGAATAGGAGCTATGGTCAATCTTCTTTTTTAACTCTTGAAATCTTTCTTCACAGGCATTCGACCATATGAAAGGTGTTCTTTGTTTGGTGAGAACTGTAAACGGCTTAGCCAACTGAGCAAACCCTACTACAAACCGCCTATAGTAGCCTGCTAGTCCCAAAAAACTTCTAACTTCTTTTACTGTCTTCGGCTTTTGCCATTCCAGAATTGCCTTTACCTTACTTGGATCCACTGATATACCCTCCTTTGAGACGGTATGGCCCAGGAAGATAACTTGATCTAGCCAAAACTCACACTTAGAAAATTTGGCAAACAGCTTCCTATCTCGCAGTCCCTGTAGCACAAATCTTAGGTGTTCTTCATGCTCCTCTTCTATCTTAGAATAAACCAGGATATCATCAATAAACACCACTATGAATCGATCAAGACAATCCTAAAACACTCGGTTCATTAAGTCCATAAAGACTGTTAGGGTATTGGTTAACCCAAAAGGCATCACCACAAACTCATAATGCCCATATCTAGTCCGAAAAGCAGTCTTAGCAATATCTTGTTCTGTAACCCTTACTTGGTGATAACCCAACCTCAAATCAATCTTTGAAAACACGGATGCTCCATTCAGCTGATCAAACAAATCATCTATGCGAGGTAACAAGTATTTATTCTTCACTGTCACTTTATTTAACTCTTTATAATCTATACACATCCGTAGAGATCCATCTTTCTTCTTCACAAATAAAATTGGAGCACCCCAAGGAGAATGGCTAGGTCGAATAAAACCCTTGTCTAAGAGTTCCTAAAGATGCTTTTTCAATTCCTGAAGCTCAACTGGGGCCATCCAGTAAAGGGCTTTATAAATTGGTGTTGTCCCTAGTGCCAGTTCAATACTGAATTCTACTTCTCTTTTCGGAGGTAAACCCGGCAAATCTTCCAAAAATACATCTGAAAACTCCCTGACTACTGGCACATTCTGAATCTCTGATTGTGGGACATCACTACTGTGCACTACATGAGCAATATACCCCGAGCACCCTTTTCTTAGCATCTTTCTAGCCTTTACACTGCTAATTAACATATTAAGCTGGTGACCCTCGCCAAAGTTAAACTTATCACCATCATCAAGATTAAATCTTGCTTTCTTCTTCTGACAATCTATCTCTACTCCAAATCTCCCCAGGAAATCCATGCCCAAAATAACATCAAAATCGGGCATATCAAACACTATCAAATCCACTGGCAACTCCCTTCCCTGGATCACTACGGACTCCCTTGGAAGCATCTCTTGAGTTACCACACTAACACCATCTGGTAACTCTATCTTAATGGGACAATCCACTCTAATAGGTTTCAAACCTAATCTCTCTAAAATCCCATGTGTAATAAATGAATGTGTGGCTCCAAAATCCCCAGTTAGTAAATTCGCGTATTATTAGCGAATTATACGCCCAGCCGTATAATTCACGCATTATTCGCGAACTGTCGTATTTTGTCAGCTTAGCCGTATTATTCGCAAATTATATGCCTCAACTGTATTATTCACGAATTATTCCCGTATCCGAATTTTTGCCTAATTTTTACAAACGTATTTTTTACTATTTGTCGTATCATACCCGTAAAATTCCCGTACCCTTTTTTTATTGTACCCGTATATTTGAAATGCTATATAGATTTTAACCAAATGGCCCATGAAAAGTGCTAAAACTAGGATTGATATTGCCGTATTTTTCAAAATGTATTATTGACAGTGTGCCGTATTAAACCCGTATATACCCATACAGTATTTTTTTCGTATCCGAATTTTATGACCGAATTTTTACAAATGTATTTTTCACCATTTACCGTATCATATCTGGAAAATTCCCGTACCGTCTTTTTGCCGTACCTGTATTTACTAACTAGGCCAGAACCAATTAATGCATAAAGGGGAACTGAGTGAAATAATAACTTACCAGTAACTGTGGATGGGCTAGCTTCAGCTTCACTCAGAGCTACTGTAAACACTCGAGCATTAGTACCTCTAGGTGTCTGTGCCGTAGGAGCAGGAGGGGCTTTACAATCTCTCATCATATGCCCTGGCTGCAGGCATCTATAGCATACATTTCGGCCCAAATTCTTTTATTATTTCTCACCTCTCTATTAGTTGGGGCATCAGCTCTATCTCTCTGTAAAGCAGGAGGTGGAACACTAAGGGCTACTACTAATAGAGTTGCTAGGATTAGCTTATTCACAAACATTTATGCCCGTAAAGCTCGTTCCAAAGCTTCATTGTATGTCTCAGGGGGCTGGGCACCGGCCATCACACATTACAAGAATTTAGGCTTTCCGCAACAAAATAATTTGTCACTATAAATATCAAAATTGTGACCATTTCACTAATGTGAGGAATTATATTGGTCACATTAAGCTCGTACTCTTAAGTGTATGGTGGCGAAAGAGTGTTTGGTCACCATAGCCTAATTATTTATTGTGACAATAATAATTTGTCATTGTAAACTAGTTTATTGTGATAAATTATTTGTAATAATAGAAGACAATTTTTATCACTATAAGTAATTTTTTGTCACAATTGATTTACATTTAAAGACCAAATGATAAGCTTTATGGTGAGAATATAATATATGATGACGAAATTGATTTTGTCAAAATTGTGACGATAATGACTAAATTATATTCTCATAATTTTAATAGTGACCGAAATATATTTGTCATTGACTTTATTGTGACAACATTTATTTTGTCACAAGTTTGTTTATATGATAATATTATTTGTCAAAAATTGCATAGTGATAGAAATAATTTTGTAAAAAATTTAATAGCATGACAAATAATTTTTAATACAGATATTTTTAAATGCAAATTTTTTATTGTCAAAATAATATGGGCGTGACAAATATTTTTTGTCTTCTCTATCTTTGCATAATCCTTCTTGCATATTTTTTGGGTAAAAGGTAATTATATAAAGAATAAAAGAATGATTCCCAAAAAGAAGACCCCTACAAAGTCAAGTTCCTTGGACAAGCCCAAGCAACCAAGCCAAAGAAAACAAAAAAGGTGGCATGGATTTACATTCCAAAGAAGGCACCAAGCAAGCCTCAAAGAGGACTCTACAAAATGACTAGGAACACAAAAACAATGTTGGACTTTGGTATACAAAAGCCAACTACACATGCTATACACAAAAGAACCATCCACCCAAAGAACCCAAAAATTCTGCCGAACAACTACTAAAATCTTGCTTATATACGCAACCAAAACAAGAAGAAAAGGAGGGAGCAACAACTTGCAATCTGTAAATAATTACCCAGCGAAAACAGCTCCAGAAAGGTTCTGGTCAATGGCGAGAAAAGTCTTCTTCGAAGCGTCCAAGGTTTCAACATGGAAATATCTACAGCCCAAACAGTAATACTCGCCTAGCACACACAAATAAGTAAGCAAGAATGCAGCAGCTCCCTTAGAGGAAGAGACTTGGCGGCATCCAAAACCTGAAGAGCTAAAAAAACAAAAACAAAAAAAGGGAAAAATATCGTCAATACAATATGAACAATGTTTATAGCATTAAAAGAATTTGGAAAAGCATAAAGTGGTAACATTCTTAAGAGAGAATGGAACTGTAAGGTAATACAAAGTAGCTACTATTGGGTGTTAAAGGTAAGCCCATGGAGGTTGGAACTAGTCAATACTGAGTAAAATACCCAAGAAAAACCAACATTATAACTATCTCCATTGACTTCAAACCAGGGAAACATCTTACAAATTATTTGCATTGGGAAACTAAAGATGATAAACTAACAAAATGATTTCCTGAATAAGCAATTTGGTTGAAGGAATAAAAGCTACTAATTCATCAACACCAGCAGTACTCCCACATAAAAAACATAAACCAAGATGCTCAAGAATTAATTATATCTGTAGAACTTGATCATAGTTGTATCCTTCAACAGAACACACTTATCTTCTTATTACTTAATTAAAGGATAATAGAATATATGAAGTGATAAAATGATGCATCCTCAAAGAAGTTACAATTCTAGATTATTCTAGTTTTCAACATTCATCATCCAACCAAGTGCATATGATACAAAAGTCATGCTGTTTCATGAGATGCACCAAATTTTTGTAGTTTGATCCTCACACTAAACATCCAACAGATCATATCACAAAATAATGGAAAGTAATGTTTGTCTCTTACCCATAAGTAACATATGGCTCCACCTTTTGCAGTTGTTCTTATATGCCTTCACTAGCCATGGCAAAGACACTGCTAAAGATTTTCGTCAATCTTAGTTTGTACAGGATCTTCCTAGTTTTTGGGTGCATGTCATTTTGCCTGAATAAAATGATAGTGAGATATCATAACCCAAAACAATACAAAGCAAAAAACTTTAGGTAAATCACCAAAGAATGCAACGTACCCTTGTATGCGTATGATAAAAAGCAGCTTAGATTTTGGCTCCACCAGAGCTGATTTTGCCCTTTTCCCTCTCTGTTTCATTCAGATAAGGTCTAATTCCTTTGAAGAGACACAGGTTAGTAATTCCTAATATCATACCATGTTTACACTAAACCGTAAACATTAAGGATAATGGGCAAACACAAAAAATTAATGTGTATCACAAACAAATTATCATCAAATAAATAATATTGAATGAAAGCTGAATCCAAGAACAATGGATTCAACAAGTAATATGCTTTTGATTACAATAAATCATAATAAAAAGACCAACAAACATGCTGAAATTTTGTCTCTATATGTCCACAATTATATATTACTGCTCAATAAATTCCATTTTCCATTAATTTCTCCCACATAACCAACACAATGCACCATATAATAAATTTAAATGCAATATGCCAACTCAATTGAACAAATTTTAAGTTGAAAACGCCAGAGATTTAATATATAAGCCTTAAAAATCAAACCTTCAAACGAAATTCACCCCCGCCGCCTCCTTGGTGACAATCCCTAGCCAGATGACTATTCTGTTCACAGTTGTAGCAAGCCCCTCCATCGCTGCCCCTTCATCTTCTGCCACTCTACCCACCGCCGTCGCCTTAGCCTCTACCATCATCCAATTCGCACCAAGCCTATAATAGCACGGTGCGATTCCGGCAACCAATGCACCCTTAAACCATAACCGCAACAAACAAAAACCTCCAAACTACGCATTATATTAACCCAACACAAGCAACCAGTGCCACCCCAAACAAAAATCAAATTCACTTTGAAAATGAACAAATCCATGAAAACATTAAACAAATTGTGAGAGAGGGAAAACAAGAATGAAGAGAAAAAAAGACAATAAATTAGAGAAGGTGGCCACCTGTAAGAGTTCGTAGTGATTTAGATTGGAGGTTGTTAGATTTTGGGGCTGTTGGAGGGAAGTCGGTGGGGATGAGGGAATGTGAGCAACAGGCATGAAATAAAATCGGGGGTGGAGCTTTTGGGGCGGTGAGGTGGGGAAAATAGATAAAAAAGGGTTGGGCAATTTTTTCTATTTATTTGAAATTTGATTTTTTTCTTAATTATTAAAATTGGTTATTTATTAATTTATATTTTATATTTTTTTATTTTGTTTAAAAAACTTAATTTTTTTCTTTTTTTTTAATAGACTGATTTTTAACAAAAATAAAAATGTTTATCTTTAATAGATAAAATATATATTATTATTCATCATATCCAACACAATTTATATTATTTGACCCTTCATAATTTTTATAGATTGAATAACCCAAACTTTTCAATTGAGCTTTTTTCAGGTTTTTATATATGTTTAATTAATCAATTACTTATGCTTATAAAAAAAATAAAAAATGTCTATCGTTAGTATATAAAAAATATATTATTATTTGTAATAACTGTAAATATTGTAATTGATTTTTTGTTATAATTTCAAGCTAATACATATTCATCATTTACATGCGTATATATTCTCATTCACCCTATAAAATTAGAAGTTTAAATCAAATCACTCAATTGAGTCTTTGCTGCAATAAATTAGAAATGGCAAATTAAATTAAATAGAGTATTAACTAAACCACATATCAAACACCCACCTCAAGGGTAGCTTGAATTGTATAATTTATCTCAATCTTCTAATTTCATATGATCATATATTGTATATACTTTAGTACATGACAACCAGAAAGAATGAAAGTGTTCCAAAGAGGACGAGACAACCGTCTGTATGGTCTAAAGATTATGTTATTCATTAATTAAATACTAGTTGTAGGGTCTTTTTCTGATATTAATTAATTTAATCAAGTTTTATTAGTCTAGAGTTATTATTAGAAGTTGGAGTAGTATTAGGATTAAGTATTACTACATATGATTAACTTGTAAGTCTATATAAGAAGCCTAAACCATAGATTATCATTGTATTTTTATTGGATTAGGATATATTCTAATATACTAAAATGAGTTCTTTTTTTCTCTTTTCTTTTTCCAAATTAAGAGTAAATTGTGTGCAAAGATCATTGTTGGAGTTGCTCAACATTGATGAAATAAATATAAAAAAAAAAAAAAAAAGACCAAAGAAAAAGCCAGTTTTTTAAATAATGGGTACTGCAATATTCAAACCTATGCACTCTTTTCTCAACTCTTCCGTTTAACCACTTATGCAAACCTACTCATTTTTTGTTTTTCCTTACTCTATATATATATTATGTAACTAAAAATACAAACTCACAGCCAAAGTGTGAGGGAAACAATTGCGTTTTAGAGTATGTTTGTCCCTTCTCCTTACTTCTTCTCCTTCTTGCGTTTTATTTTTCTTCTTTCAAGATTTGGTTTTTCCAATTCAATTTTACAAAAAATAGAAGAGATCAAAGGCGGCTCACTTCACCCAATTCAATTTTTCCCTTTTTCACCCAATTCAAATTTTCCCTTTTTTGTTGTAACACCAAAGAAAATTAGGAGAATCAAAGGAGAGTTCATAAGGAAATTCCCTTTTTCCCTTTTTCGCCCAATTCAATTTTTCCCTTTTACCCTTTTTGTAACCATGGCTAAATGATTTATTTTTGTAATTTCATCTTTGATGTGAACATGTAATACAAAAATTAATATTTAACATGTGATCCAAATATTAAGTCTATAACATTAAAGCCGAAAATGTAAATATTTGTATTCAGATTGAATTTGATTTGTATTCTTTTATCATTAAAGCCGAAAATGGTACATAATATTTACATTTATAAAACTATTAATCATTTTGTATGTTTTACGATTTTTTGGCTTTTTCAAGTTTTTAAAAATAAAAATTAAAGGAGATCATATTATATGTTTTTTTAGCAAATTTTTGTCACAAAATATAACGTTCAATCTAACTCAAATATTTTGTCACTAATACCTCCATTATAACATTTATAAATCACAATTTTTTTATTTTTTTTTTATAATGATAAATAATTCTTTTGTGACAAATGAGTTTGTAATTATAACATGTATTATTAAATATAGTGACTAAAGTTTTTGATGACAAATATGTTTGTCACGATAAACAATTTATCTCGCACTTAAATTTTGACTCAAACATTTTGTCATTAATACCTCTATTTCAGCATATATTATGACAATTTTTTTTAATAATAAATAAATTCTTTTTGTGACAAAATAATTTGTAGTTATAGCAAGCATAACTAAATATAGTGACTAAAATGTTTTATGACAAAATATGTTTGTCACAATAAACAATTTACCTAGGCGCCAAAATTTTGTGCCAAAATTTTGTGACGAAATATTATGATAAATATGTTTTTCTTCACTACATTTATTATGGGTTTCTTTATTGTGATAAAATATTATGACAATATTTTTTTTAGTCACTTTATATTCTCTTTGTCATACTTAATGTGATGTTTCTTTATTTTGTCATAATAACTATATCACTCGTGACAAAATAACATTTGACAAAATTAATTTTGTCACAATATAATATATTTCTTTTAGTGACATCTCGGGCTATTTCTGGTTTCAGCCCATGCACAAACTTATCCCTCCTCAATTCTGGTGTACTCACTACACCTAGCGCAAACCTTGCCAGGGAATTAAATCTCACATAATACTCTTTCACTGAGCTAGTCCCCTGTTGCAAACTGATAAACTCCTGAATCTTTTCATGAACTCGATCAACTGTTCTATATTCTACCTCAAACAATCTTCTGAAATCTCCCCAAGTCATCGAGACTATATCATGAGTATCCTTCATCAATTCCCACCATATATGGGCATCACCCCTAAACAGAAAACTTGCATACTGAACCTTCTCCTGGTCTGTCATAGGGAAAAGTGCCGTTGTACGCTCCACGAATCTAAACCACTCTTCTGCCACTATTGGATCTACCGTACCCCTGAATTCTGACTATTGATGTTGACTAGGCAACCCATATATCGGCTCAATATGATTCTGTACTATCGGGGGTACCGGCCTCTCTCTCTCCTCTCTAGGGGTCGGTACAATAACTAGGGTCTCAACTCTTTTCGGTACAGAGCCTCCTCGATTCTTTACCGAGATTTGTTGTATAATATTATGGATCCTTGCTTCATCGAGGACAAAGGGAGTAGATTCTGAAGGGTTGGAAGGTTCACCCATACTTATTGCCTTTTTACTGCTTGCTCGAGTTCTACGTCTCATCTAAATAACACCAACACTTATAGTCAACTCAATTAACTCATCTACTACAAGTAAGGAAAGAAATAACTTACAATGGTCTACTACGGAACGTCAATGCGGGGGGAGAGGCAAACTGTCAAATCCCAAAACCTTTGCTCTAATACCAAAAATGTAATACTTTCTCCCTCTAGCTAGTATACTCGTAAAATAACAGTAAAACTCACTAAATATATATAAGAAAATATACATGTAGATGAGTATAAAATAATGGGTCCATAACTAATTTTCTTTATATACAAATCTTTACATAATATAATAAAGTCACAAAACATCACTCGACAGTGTTGCCAAACCCTTCCGCTTCTTGACGTTCCAAGTTATACTTTATGTTTCAGGCCTAAATGTGCATTTTTAGCAAATAATGAGCGAATTGGAGTTTCTGGACTTAGAAGTAAACGGATCTCAGAATTGGGGAAAGTTACAAAGCAGAGTGAAGCACTATGAAGCTTGTTTCCATGAGAAAGCATCGAAGATATAAGATTCAAGAAGAAAGCAAGCAGAGGGCAATTTCGTAATTTCATAATTTTCTAGGAAGGTTCACCGCGGTGAAGGTTATTCTTCACTGCAGCAAAAGCAGCTAAGAACAAGATTCAGTTTTAGTTCGTCGCCGCAGTGAAATTCTTTCTTTACAATTCACAACTCCTACCATCAACCTCAAATGTGATAATCCGAGAATTATACTATTTTATTTAGGCTTTTTGGCCGAATTTTAGATACTTCTTAGCTCGTTTATGCCTGAATTGCTACATAATTCTATATATTTTATGTTTCAGGCCTAAACGTGCATTTTTAGCAAATAATGAGCGAATTGGAGTTTCTAGACTTAGAAGTAAGTGGA